ACGGGATAAATTTGCCCTTGGAAATACCTCGACGCCCTCATGCAGTCGTGATATGCCAAACGAAATTTTCTTGGTTTCCGAACGCTGGGATATTGACACCCGCACCTTTTGCATTGTTCATGCGGGCGAGGGAGTTCCGGGTGGAGAACATGGGGGATACCATCTTCCTATAAATAAAACATTGTTTAGTCGGCGGAAAATATCTGAAACATTATTTATCTCCTCGGTTTTTTCAGTTGAAATTGATTTGGCGATACAAAGAATAAGGGTCATGAGGGTCAGAGAGTTCGAGTCGATGATACCAAATATAAGGGTCATGAGGGTCAAAAAATAATTTCCAAGAACTTTCATTTCCTTTCAATTTTTTTTCTCCTTTCTATGAACATCCTTTCGACGATTGTTTGCAAGATTATAATTCTTGATGTTTGCTAGAGATCATAGAAGGGATGACGGATGAAGACATTGCAACAAAATCTGAGAACCTCGCGTCAGCTTTCACCATTGTTCCTCATAAAAGTCCCTCCTCTACATAAAAAAGGAATTTTTTCCCCTGTGTTTTTCCCTCCCCCTTTCTCCATCTTTTATTGAGCGTAGCGGTACGGCCACTCGGATCGTCGTAAAGACATAACTCCATGTGCCACGAGCGTGTAAATACCTTGTAACGGGGACCCTGCTCTCGGAGTAAACCCTCATACAGACGCCTGCAGTTGTCTATCTTGCAATCCCCGCGTGTGTCACGTACGCGCATATAAATTGTTGAAGCGGAATCATTCTCGTATCAAATGTATAGTTGAGACCGGGCAAGACCCCTGCTGTTTCCGCGCGGACAAAAAGTCTTCGCGCGAAAAAAACCGCGCGGAGAAAAACTTCTCCGCACCGACAATTTCTTTTCCCCGCGCGGAAAAAATTCTTCGTAAAAAAAAATATTTTCGTGCGCAATCAAAAATTTTCATGTAGAATAATCTACATGCGGAAAAAAAATTCCGCGCGAAGAAAAAACTTTCCGCACCGACAATTTTTGTACTCCGCGCGAAAACAATTCTTCGAAAAGAAGAATATTTTCGTGTGCAATAAAAAATGTTGATGCAGAAAAAAACTACATGCGGAAAAAAAATTCCGCGCGGAGAAAAAACTCTCCGCACCGACAATTTTTGTACTCCGCGCGGAAACAATTCTTCGAAAAGAAGAATATTTTCGTGTGCAATAAAAAAT